ACACCGAAAAATGCAAGGTTCTCCACTTTGGGAGGAAAAACCTGCGGCATGCGTATAGGCTCGGGAGTGCTACGCTGGTTAGCACTACAGATGAAAAGGACTTGGGGGTCATAATTGACCGCAAGATGAACATGAGCCTTCAATGTGATGCTGCAGCTTGTAAAGCGGGCAAAACGCTGGCTTGCATCCATTGATGCTTCTCAAGCAAATCCCAGGACGTCATTTTCCCCTTGTACTCAGCCTTGGTGAGACCGCAGCTGGAGTAGTGCGTCCAGTTTTGGGCTCTACAATTCAAAAAGGATGTGGAGAAGCTTGAGAGAGTGCAGACGAGAGCCACGTGCATGATCAGGGGTCAGGAAAACAGACCTTATGATGAGAGGCTGAGAGCCATGGGACTCTTCAGCCTGGAAAAGCGCAGGCTCAGGCGCAATCTGGTGGCCACCTATAAGTTTATCAGGGATGTTCACCAGGATCTGGGGGAACGACTATTCACCACAGCGCCCCAAGGGATGACAAGATCGAATGGTCATAAACTGCTCCACGACTGATTCAGGCTGGACATAAGGAAGAACTTCTTTACTGTCCGAGTCCCCAAGGTTTGGAATAAACTGCCGCTGGAGGTGGTTCAAGCACCTACTCTGAACGCCTTCAAGACACGCTTGGATGTTTATCTTGCTGGGATCCTATGACCCCTGCTGACTTCCTGCCCCTGAGGCAGGGGGCTGGACTCGATGATCCTCCCCAAATGTCTATGAAGTCTATGAAATAAATCTATGAAACAGGTGGATGTCCCCTTCACACAGAACTGTCACCAGGCCTGGAGGTACTGCGATTATCAGGTTGACACAGGAAGGCCCAGAGCCAGCCCTGATACACCCTCCCCCTGGGTGCCAAAAATACTTGATTTTAGCCAAAATTTTGTATCTCAGACTATATTAGCCTAATCAGTCCCAAATTCCATCAACTGAACAGAACTCATCATTGAAGTCCATGTGGTGCTACCACCAGCAAGTATCCTCCATCCCAAATTCTTCAGCCTGGGGATTCAGATATTCCCAAATCCATAGCAGGCATAGGTTAGTGCAGCCTATGTGAATTAGATTATATGGTAGTGACCATTGTGCACAGGCCTTCAGCACTGACTCTAAGACATAGTGAACCACTACACTGCATACATTTCAAATCCCTCTTCACTCCCACTGCTGAGCTCTGCCTTTCTCATTTCCAATTATTCTTGTTTTCTCACCAGCCTACAATGTCTGGCCCCGAACAGTTTACCCAAAATCTCTGTTGATCCCTCTCTCAGCCTGTTGCATATTACTGTGGCTCCACCCTCCATGAGGTGGAGCCAGGCCAGGTTACCCTGTGCCTCATCTGCATATCAATTTTTGGAGGATCCCAGGACTTGTGATAACACCTGGTTCCTGTCACGAGTGGAAGGGCTAATTAGGAAATGGATCCTTTGTGGCAGAGGGGCGCAGCTTCTGTAGTGTGCGCACATACTAAGCAATGTTGCACTATGGGTCATCATGGCTTGAAAGTCAGTGAACAACATGGTAAATCATGAGCCTTTTGGCTTTGGACTAATATCAGGGATAGTTCATACTATATGTAAGTAGGTACAAAAGTGCTGCTTAACACTGTGCACTGAAACTTGCAGCAGTTTCATAAAAGGTAAATGCATCAATTCTGGATGAACTAAGGCTATGGGTATGTGTAATAATTAGCCTAAATGCAAATTGCTACAGCTATGTTTACATTTGCCCTTCACTTCCATGTGCTCAGGGAGAGCAAGGTCTGACAGTAAAGGTGGGGATGGGGCTGCAGGGGGAAGAATCTGGGGTGGGGGGCAGAAGTCAAGCGGGACACCTGATCCCCCTCCCCAGATTTATTTTCCCTGTGGTAGCAGTTTGAGGGAAGCAAATTCAAGGCAAACCACGATTAGATTCCATAACTGAAAAATTATAACAAATTTATAAATGTTCCATACACAGAATCTAATTATTGGGTGGTTCTTATATTCTGGGTCGACTTGTACCTGAGTACGTACGGTAATACCAACAGGCTACCAATGCTACATCCAAGCATACATCCAGAAAGCTAAATCCCCTTTCAATGGATCTACTGCACTTAGCCAAAGATTTGATATTTTCCTGTTTCATTAATCTTTATAACAAGGGAAGCACTACATATGCCTCAAGATTAATGGGCACATTTTCATCACAATGCATAACGGCGTTATAACACTCACCAAGAAGACCATGTTTACAGAAGTGTTTCATAATACTGCTTTGTGTGCTAGTATCGGCACTTCTATGCTTTCAATGCATTGAAAAGTGTGTGTGGGGGAGAGGGAACTTTGAAGCTAAGTGGCTGTGCCACTATAAAGATATACTAGAGGATGTTCAACACTCACTTAGGTGACAACAGCCCAAGACTGGAGTTGTTTAAAAAAAATTAAGATAAAATATTTCTTTATTAGGGCTGTGTGAAACTTCGGTCCCTGATTCAATTTGGCAGAGATCTGGCCTGATTTGGTGGCTAAATCTCCAAATCCAAATCGAATCAGAAGACCCTTTAATCTCTGAATTGAATCAGAACCCTCCGAATCGATTTGGAGATTTGACGATTCAGACAGAGACAGCTTTAAATGTTTTTTTCTACATACCTCTAGGTAGCAGGGGCTCATGAATGCTGCTATGCTGGGGTGCATGGAGTGTCCCACAGAAGTGCAGGGGGGCTCCCCAGCACACTTGGCAGCAGAGCTGGAAGTAGACCAAAAGTACTTCCAGTCCACTTCCGGGTCCGCCAGGAAGCATGCTGGGGAGCCCCCCTGCGCCCCTCAGCTCAGCAACCGGTGTCTCCTGGGTCTGGGGGGCACCCGGGGTCCCCCTGAAGCTGACTACCAAGCCAGAGGAGCACGGGGGGGGGGGCCCAGTGCACTCCCCAGCAGACCCAGAAGTGGACTGGAAGTAGTTCCAATCCACTTCTGGGTTTGCCGCCAAGCACACAGGGGGTCCCCTATGCTCCTGTGGGACAGTACATCTGCCCCAGCATCGCAGCGATCACAAGCCACACCTGCTACCTCAAGGTATGCAGAAAAAACTTTTAAAGCTATGTCTATGTCCAAACTGCTGATTCTCCAAATCAGCATCAAATTTTCAGATTCAGATTCGGTCAAATCGAATTGGGGACAGTGATCCGCATCAACTAATCGAATCACTGCCCCCGATTTGGACCGAATCTGAATCAAATAGGGCCCATTTCGCACACCCCTATTCTTTATGAGGAAGTGTTCTTGTTCCAAATAGCAAGTGCCTCCCATTATGGGAGAAAGGAGTGTGTAATAAGCCAACAAAAACAAAATGGAAGAAACTATGACAATTAGACCGTATGTAGAAACCCACAGGAAAGTAAACCTTAGCAGGCAAAAGTCACAAAATGCTGAGTTTACTGTTCCAAAGCAGCCTGGCATCCTCCACTTTTGTACATATTCCCTCCAAGTGTAGAAAGAGATTAGTAGTTCTGATAGATGGAGAGACTTCAGCTCTTTGGGTATGGACTATGCTACAATTGATAGGTCTAGACAGATGTGCTGTCCAGGATCCAGAGTGCATTAAATGCATATCTATCCATGGGCTATATTTATTCAAAGAAAGTACTGTTGGCTACAAAGCTCCAACTCACGAGATCATAATAAATTCTAGTTTATTGGACAGGAGGTGAAGTTACCAATAAAATCATAAATGCAAACTTTGAATTATGGGTGGCACTGGTCACCTTAGCATATACACACACACATGCTCTCACTCATTCAAACCCATGTAGTATACACTAGCTGCCGTAGTGATTGTGAGAGCACTGGTGTCAGTATATCTACCTATGCAAGACCCTGGAGTCTGCTGTTGACGGTCAGCTTTCTTCAAGGTGATGTCTTCTCCAGAAGGGGGTCACCGGCTTGTCCTTCTGTCTCGGTAGGTCAGGTGCTGGAAGAGGGCGCCACTGAGGGTCACGCTTTACTGCTTTTTATCCCTTTCTGGCAGACTTGTGTGATTCCCCCCAGCATCATCTTGGCTACCCAAACCAGAGATCGTTGTCCCACGTGGGTCTTGAGCAGCACCTGACAGCTCTTAGTCACAGGGGTCTCTGCCTGCGGGTACCTGAAGTTTTGGGAGCCCACCCTTGACTTACTGACTTAATGGCTGTATTGTCATGGGTTTTAGGAATAGTCCATAGGGTGAGTGCTCAGTTCCAGGAATCAGTTCTTTAGCTTGATTAGCTTAAAATGGAGTTCCTTCGGTTAGGCTATTGTTTACTGATGATCATCATTCACTCACATTCACTCAACAAATTTTATCATATTACAGTTACAATTTCAATGCAGTTTTAGCAATGGTCCAGGGTGTCACTTAATTCTACAGGGAGTACATTCCTTAAGAGGTTAAAAGTATAAAATAGAAAATACTAAATGCCATGGTAAAGATGAGACAGATGAAATATGAAAATGCACTGTGAGAAATATATAAAAATGCAACGTGAGGTAGTGAGGATCAAAGGCTACTGGGGACAGTAAGTGAGTTAGGTTAGCACAGGATATATTTACAGTCTTTGCAGTGGATATTTTAGTTCTTTTGTTTTCTTTAGTGACACTGAGCTTAATTGATATGTAGATGTAGTTTCTACATTTCTCCTACAGAAAGCCACTTCAGCTTTCTGGCTTGCTCTGAGCCTTGCCACACCCGTGCAACAAGTGTGCTAGATCTCTGCCAATACAGAGAAGGAAAAGAAATGCACAAAATGGGGGGAGGGGGTTTGCAGACAAGAAGGGGCTTTGTTATATCAATGCCCAGAAGGGAAATGTACAAAGGTTTTCTGCTACAGTACAATGCCAACCCCCATACACATAGCGTCTTTCTTATTCACATAACCAGTTCAAAGCGTAGATGAAAAAGTGTGTTGCAATGGCTGCTTCAGAGTTAAAAGATTTAAAGACACTTGTCTAAGACGAAGTATAAATTTTTTATTCTGTCGCTAAAATGCATAACAATTTAGGAATGTGTCAATTGGAAGAGCAAGCTATTTTATCATTTTTTGGAAAAATCATTAATTGCTGCTAAGAAGAGGAAGTACAGTCTGGTCCCAGCTCTCATCCCATCGCAGTTGCTTAGATTCCTGAAGATTTCTTCTAAACAGCTGAAGTTTTCCGTCAATTGAAGGAAATTCTGAGAAAAGCATCTGAAAAAATGAACCATGCAGAAGAACATAATTACATCATGCTTTAAAAGCTTAACCTCTCCAACTTTAATAGTCAATTACTAACAAGTTAAAAAAGATCCACAAGTATTGCATCATGACAATATTTAGAACATGCCTGCTTGCTTCAGATTCATATACATATGACCAAAAAAATCCATAACTACAAGTAAGAATTTCATCAGAGAATGGAGATTTTAAAGTTAAATTGACAAATAGTTACATTTAGATAAATGCTGAGTAATATAAAATGATGGATTATTTCAGGCAAAAAGAAGCTGTACACAAAAACAAAGAGGGAAGAGAAGCCCCCATACCAGCCAGATCCACTACCCCCTCATTTCAAATATGTAAAAGCAGCACACCTTTCCTATTTCATTTTTCACTCTTTAACAAAAAAAAAAGGAAAAAAATCTTGATCCTTATGTATCTTTACCTTCAATTGTTCTGCCAGTTCAGTTGAATCCCTGAATATCAAGCCATTTTCATCATGTTTAACAAGTTCATGTAAACTGTGAACAAAAACCAGTGAAGAAAATGTGAGAAAATAAAAGAATGTCACAATTGAAGATTAAATTTAAACTCTTTAATACGTTGTTTAGGTATCGTACATCAAGTTGTTAGCAAACTGTACTGAATAATTCCTGCTCTTTGGAAAAAGTAAAAAGGATCCAGTAGTAACAATAAGTTGTACAGTTTAGTCCCTAACCTTTTGTTGGTCTATCATAACTGAAGCCACTCATTTCAATAAGCAGTAGTATGCAGTATCATATCATAAGCAATCCTTTAGACAAAAAGGCCCTTCAAAGTAATGAAGCGAAGTTCAGTGAGCTGAATGGAATCTATGACAGCATCACATACTTTCTCTATTTTGATCCCCTGTAGCATATACAAATTAGATGAAACTATATTTTAAGTTTCATTTACATTGGGCAATGAACAAGCACATAGTTTATATCCCAAAGAATAACTTGTAAGTGCTAGGGGGAAGAGGGGACAGAAGCATATGCCCATTAGTTTATTTTCATTCTAACCCATTTTTCCTACCCCAAGAAATAAATTATACCAACATGAATTTTCTTGGATTTGGGTCATATTTGCTGGTAAATTCTAGTGATTTAAATAGTTGGTGAGTGTAAATTGTGTGTCAGGAAGAGACAGTGAGAGGAATGACTAAACTGCAGCAGATCTGATTTTCCTCTGAATCAGGTGGGTGAAACTACAGACTGTCCCAGTCTAACATAGTTATCTTTTCCGAGAATTTTTTCTTGTAATCTTTTTAATATATATTTTTCTCCTGAAGATGCCATAATCGTATTGAAAGCTAGTATATTTTACATGCTTATTTAAGCAATAGACCATGAGAAAAGAAGGACCTTTGTTAATATGTGATGAACAAAGTCATCACAGAATATCATGTTCTGTTATTACCAATATCACAGCATACGACAAAGTATCTAAAGTTATGAAAGTCATCTATCTCCCAAAGGACTGCAAAGTGCTTTATGAACAGCAGATACAATAACCACTTCACCCAGCTCTGAGCTGAAGATAAAAGTAGGGGGTGGAATGAATCATCTCTTACGTAGTACATAGAAACAAAAGCCGCTTGCAGATGTTTAAAAACAAAACAAACAAAAAAAACACTTTACAGGAAAAAACAGTGCATTACTTCGACCTGGCTCTGCAGCATCAGTAAAGATCAGGCACTTCAGCAGGGCTTTTTGGCACTTTTAGCTAAAGCTGGTTCAATCAGCTATTAGATAAAAGCGCCAAAAAAAGCCCCACTAAAACGCTCAATCTTTACAGAAGTTGGGCAAGTCACGTTGAAATAACATGCTGCTGCCTCTGAGCACATGTGGAGCTCAGCACAGGAATGTACCAAGTTTAAAGTAAATCACTGTTTTTTGCGGCGGGGGGGGGGGGGGGGGG